TTGTCAAAGTCAGAACCATGTGGCTTTGAGGTTTTTTGTTTTGTTTTCTTCCAGCCTCTCTCCAAATGCTTAGAGCACATTTATTGCAGGTCTGTGATAGGGACCAGGCCAGTTTTCAGACAACTTGCTGAACATTGCACCCAAGAGGGGCTGAGAATAGCAAGGGGCACACCTGGACATTGCTAGACCCTTTAACACCTGCACCAGCCATGCCTTGGTGACAGAGGTAAGTGGGTGCCACCCAGAACCCTGGGACAGGCCGGGGATCCCAGGGCCTTTCCTGTAACTCCCACCCTTTCCTGCTCATTGTATGCAGGCCCCCCAGCCCGCTGCCCCATTTCTGTCTTGCTGCTTGTGGCTGTCAGCATGTGAAAGACACACTTTCTTGTGCTGCTCTTTTATTGTCTGGTTTTGTGTGTCAAGGTTTGACACGTTTTCCCCAAGCTCCAGTGTCTTTGAAGCCCTGCTGTACCTGAAAGCACTCCTGTGGCACTGTTGATGTAGACAGCAACTGCCTTTGACACACAAATAGTTTCACTCTGCATTAAACTACAGTGTCTGCTGCAGTAGAATATGACACCTGAAAACACTGTGTTCTGTGCAAAACAGAGAGCTAATGGAAAAGCATCCCCAAAATAAAGGCAGAAGGTAAACAAACCTTCATGTCCCTCTCCCTCAACAGGAAGGGGAACAGTGGTGGCTATTGCTTCCATACTGCCCTTGTGATTAAAGTGTACAGAGAAAGGTTTAAGATGAGCAAGTAAGATTTGCCAGGCTGGAAATGTGGGCAGGGCCTATGGGTGAAATGTCCTCCTGATACCTTTTGTGCAAGTTTCCTCACTACAGCTCCCACCTCGCAAAAGAATGAGTTCAGTCTTGAAAGGAATCATTGAACTCTCTGGCCCCTTGGAAAGAAATACTAGCTTGTGTGAAAAGGAGTCCATAAACCTGTATTAAAGCAAACCCAAGCATTTGGTATAGCACAGTGCTATGAGGCACTTCTTTGGTCTTTGCAGGTTAAAATTTGAATGCCTACAGTGACCAACAACAATGCTGCTGAAATGTGTAACAGGAGAAATCTACAGCCAGCCACTGGTGGAGACAGGTGAGCCACCAAAAGCCTGGTCAAAGCCTTTCATGGAAAGCGTCAGCTTACAGGCAGAGGACGGACATTAATTTTGATTTTTTTTCTTTTTTTCTTTTTTTTTTTTTATAAATTATATGTAAGGCCTTAAAAATGCAAAAAAAAATGAACCTCCATTTTAACTTTACACAGAAAATAATTAAAGCATTATTAAAATATGCAAAATTTATAATTTAATTATACAATTACAGAGCCTTATAGTCTAATAGCCCCACTGTATGTTGCATATTAGCGAACAATTGCTTTCTTAAAGCTCACAGCAGAATCATTTACTTGATGCTGGAGAATAAGTTAATTACGGATCTCCTGCCTTTGATTAATGGATTTAATAATCATGTTACAGCAGAATTAACTTATAGTTCATGTGCTTACAGCCCTAATGATGAGATTCATGAAAGCAACATGTCAGCAAATAGGACTGGCCCCAGAAAAGGCATTGTTTGGAGACCCCAGGACTGCCTGAGCTGCATCACTGCCAGTCAGCACTTCTGGTAGGAACCTGCAGATGGCAACCCACCTTTCTCACTTCATCTGGCATTACTCACCCCCAGTTGCCACTTCAAGCTAAACACACCTCCACTGAAGCTCAATTCTGGATACTGTGGGGGGAAAACTTATCCCAGGAGACCAGTGCAGTGCCAGTAATGCACATACCCATTGGGCACAGCCAGTGGCCTGCTCTGACCCAGTACAACAGCAAACATTCTTTTTCTTTAACGCTTCTTTTGGGCACATAATACAAGTATAAGGTTCCTTGGATAGAAACACATTGAGTCAGCCAAGATTTCCTCTCTCTAAAGGTACCTCAAGTACAGGTAGTACAACTTAAGAGACAGAGCACTCTAGTTTCCAAACTTGACTTTAGCTGTTCAAGGAGAGGAACTAGAAAAGGTAAAAGGAACACTTGGAAGGTTTTTGTATTTTGCTGTTATTCGTCACAGGACTCCTGTGCATGTCTGCGTAAAACCAGATCTGCAAGTCTCGCAAAAGCCACATTCAGAAACCTTAACTTAATTAAGACTCAAATGGACACTAATAAAAACAGAATGAAGAGCTGAACGTTATTTTTTCTAAAGGAGCAGTACCTCAGGAATGACCAGCAACAGGATTTCAAATTGCATCAGCCATTACCTATAACTATGCAAAGCAAAACAATGCAATACAAGTCAGGAGCTTAGCATAACACCAGGGCCCAAAAAGAAGGCAGGAAATGAATAGGAATACAATTTGCTTAACAAATCACTTACAGGAATTCTGCAAGACGTGGCCCATGTCCTGATGGACAACACAGCCTGAGGGTACAGGAAGCACTGGTGCCTGTCTTGCACATCCACCAGTGACATTAATCCACTGCTGCTTGTGGTTTTTTATGGGAGATATTTAGGATTAAGATAATTCAAGGTTTGTGCTGAAAATCAACTCTTTTTTCCACCAAAGCAAGCTTCAGGGATTAGAGACATATTGAAATAATGCGTATTTTATTACTGAAGCAGATGGGACTATGCCTTTAGACGTGCCACTTCAAACCCAGCTATGCATCCTAATCTCTGTCCTTCCTCCCCCTTTATACTTCTTGCTCTGACTGCCACACATTCATCCAGTGTGGAGAGTTCTCCTCAGCTTGTCACCGAGGCCTTGCTAATGAAAGACACTCAGACAGCTATCAGGCCATGTCATACAACAATGCTTTAACCTCTCTTGCCCCAAGTTGTTCCAGGTGAGCTCAGGAATCAGTGGCCAAATAATATTCAGGTGCAGATCCTCTGCCAAGTGGCAGCTGTTTAAATGAGATCACAGGCATTCTCAGTTCTTAATGTAGAGGCTGAATACACCAAGAATTCAGATTACACGAGTCAGGTAAATGCCAAATATGCTTTCTAGGATATCTGTGCTGGGTTTCCTTTGTGCCAGCTCACATGAGGTACTTCCTTGCAATGTACTGGTTTTTAGCCCTCAGATCACAGGTTTCTTGGAAGACCCCAGGTGAAGCTCAGCCTTACCAAGTGCAGGGCTGGCCTGCAGACCTTCCTGCTTTGGCTCCACTTTGAATATATGGTTTCACCCTTGTAAACGTTCTTTTACTTTATATGAGCCTTAGCAAACCCTTGTCCTATAGATACTCATCTCCTACAGCTGTAGACACAGGTAATGAAATAGACAGTGATGAGCAGACCTTATAATGCAAAACTAAATATCCAATTAGAACTCGATGAGGAAGTCTGAAATAAAACACATTAAACAGAATAAGGAGGTGGGACAAAAAATCAATTTCCCATTAAATTTAGTGGTTACTATTTTTTTCTGACTCTCAATGTTAAAAGCATCAATTACACACACAATTTACTCCTTTACAATCTGATTCAAAATTCAAAGCAAAAACTTGCACTGCAGAATATGAATTAGCCCAATGATCACAGGGAAAAAAGCAGTGCCCTGCAGATCTCTCCAGGCTGGCTTCAAGAAGTGTTCCACCAATGTAGGCTGGGGGAAATTGCATTATATGTTGTTTGGGAGAAGGAAGTGATTATGAAGCAGCCTGCTACTTCACTCAAAGCAAGAGGTGCAGAAGGTATGAAGCTGAACTTGGGAAAAGCCATGGAAATATTTTGGGATAAAAAGTAAATGACCTTAAAATATTTGCTTTTGTGGATGTGCCCAGAGGATGCAAGGCTGGTACAACAAAATGCATCCTTCACTGAGCTTATGTAGCAGCTCTGCACCATGAATAATAAAAGAAGAAGAAAAGCTGCTTGGGGATGATTTCAGGACAAGCATGACTTCTCTTTTATTCCACTTTGGTAACAGTGTCATAATTTTATATTTTTAAACTGTGATGCACGTAGAGTTATTTTAATCTAACCACAGAGACACTTCATTTGTAGGCAGTGGTGATCCTTGACCCATGGCATTGAGCTATACTTGTAGAGTCTGTAACTCCATGATGCTTCATTTCAACCTCCCACAGACAAGAAGATGCATCGCTGGTGAGCTGCATGTGGTTTGAACAATGGTTACAGCAGCCTGTGGGCTACAGACACCAAATCTCATCAGCAGTGCAAGGGAGGGGAGATTTCTGCCAAGGAGGTAGGGAGCATGTCTAAATCCTGAGGTGGACAAAGAAAAGTGTAACACCTGGTGAACAATGACCCTGCAAAGCCATCTCCCTGAACTGGCAGACATATATATACAGAAAGAGCAGGGAAAGAAATCAGACTTACCTCTTTCATCTTCCTTCATAACCCACAATGCAACTACATCTTAAGAAACTAAGGCAGAGAAGACCTATGAAAAGATGAGTGCAGCACCTAAAACTTCAGCAGAATCTTCTTTTGAAGACGCTAGAGCAGCTTGCCCATGTTTGTCTCTGTTCTAAACCTTTTGCATATTGCTCTTAGAGACAAACACATTATTTTGTGCTGTAAAGCACAGACACCTATAAACACTAAAAAGAAGATATATGGAGAGAGAACAATGGGTTTTTTAATGGTTATAGGCATCTTTCATCTTAAACCCAAGAGTTTAAAGTCAATTCCAGCTGTTTTGGATTGTCTCTTGCTTGTATAGAGCCTGTAAGTAAACTGTAAATTCAGGACCCCTAGCTGTGATCATTAATAGATGACATTTGGTGGTAAACCAAGTCCAGTTCTCTGGAGCACTGGCCCAGCCCTAGGGCACTGGGATTTTGGGTGCTGCTTTGTACCCATGTTTATCTTTTTGTGACCATCTTTTTCACCTGATAGAGGGCAGGGGCACTCATAGAAGTCATTTTTTTCATTTTACACTTATTTACCCTGTTCCCCTTTCTACAATAGCTGCAATAAAATGTTGTTTCAGTAGAGCACTGCTTTGCAAATTTGGCTCAAGGAGCCACTGAGCAAACAGCTTTTCAGAGAGCTTCAACTCAGCTGTCAGAGGGGGCAGTTTGGTCTCTGTGCAAGCAATACTCACATTCCAAACTGCATTAGGGAAAAGCTGGTGGGGGTTTATGCATTTTTATTATCAGTTCCAGACTAGGAATTTGATGCTAATTTTTTCTTAAAGCCTGTGTTTGCAGTAGCATTTATATTCTAAAACAAAGCCAGGATTGTGATGTTTTTCTCTCACTAGCTTGCTCTTCTTTATCTTTTCTTTTTTTTTCCTCCCCTTGGCTTTACTCCAAGGACCTTTTCTGCTTGTTTGTTACACTCTCAAGATGAAGCACTGGATGGTTACAGCAGTGCTGATAGCACTGGTACAGGTTTCTCTGAGTTTCCCTGCCTTGTACCACCGAGGTTGGTGGAGGCTGCTAAGGGAAGGAGATAGTTGTGGAAAATGTGATTTGACGCTTTGCTCGGAGCCTAAAGACTGTCCAGCCGGGACTGTGTTGGATCGTTGTGGCTGCTGTCGGGAATGTGGGAATGTGGAAGGTCAGATCTGCGACTTGGACCAGGGCAATCATTTTTATGGGCAATGTGGGGATGACCTCGAGTGCAGGCTGGATGCTGATGAAGCAAGGTTTGGGGAAGTCCCCGAACCCCAGTGTGTGTGCAAGTCTCAAGAGAGCATCTGTGGACCCGAAGGGAAAACCTACGAGAACATCTGTCAATTCAACAAGGCTTATGCTGCAAAAAGAAATATCAGCATGAAACATAAAGGGCCATGTGAATCAGGTAATGTGTACAGAGGCACTTCCAAACTGAAAAAAAAGCTGATTCTATTTCCAGATGTCTTACTAGCTGCTCTAATCTAGCTTTATTAAACTAATACGGCATTTTTTTTACAATTATTATTATTCTGTTATAATACTACTTTGTGTTAAACATGTGGTTTAGCAGCTGGTACTTAATCTTGTATGTTATAAGCCTCTAGATTAGACTAGTCGATTAAATCACATGGTGACTAATAAGCCATCAATCTACAGACTGGTTCTTCTCTGAATAATCAGAGTATGATTATTATAATCAGAGTATGATTTTTTTCTACAAAAGTTGTCTGTGTAGTTGGGAATCAGTAAACAGATAGGATAGACTGGGAAAAACAGGCAAATGATTATTATTATAAGAGGACTAACCTAATTTTAAAGTGGTGATAGTAAGGCAGATCTCATTCATAAACATACATACACACACATACATGTATGTATATGTGTATATATATGTATGCATGTGTGTATCCACCAGTGAGTATATATGGTAAGCAGTGAAGCAGGGGCAATAGAAGATAGGGTTTAATTAACAGCTCTGTTCTTTTTACAAAAAAATAATCCAAAATAATCCAATTTGAGAATCATCATAAAATCTAGCTAACCCATGAAACAGAAATTCAAATATTAGAACAGAATAAAGCTGAAACAATTTCTCTAAAGACACAGTGCATGAACAGTTGTCTGTGATGATTGTTAGTGGAAGGATTCTTAGGTGGGTTTTCAGGGGAATGCTGACTCCTGTTCATGTGCTGTTCCCATTCTTCATATTATTACAAGTCATTACTCCTGAGCACCTTTCTCCTAAGACACATGAATATAAAATGAAAATGTGAAGAGGCTTTTATTTTCTGACTGAGAAATTACTGGGGTTTTTTTAAGTAAATGAAATATTTTCTCAAATGAAGTAAGTAGAAAAGGTCTGCGGGTCATAAATGGGTCACAGTTTTGGGAATCCAAAATTGCAACTCTGACAAAGGACCACATATGGGAGTAACTCAGGTACATTTTACCCACTCCTCTCTAGCAGTCTTAGACTGTATGCTGTGTTTTATATTGAATGAACACTGGATATTGAACACTTAAAAGGAAAAGTGATGAACAGTTTATACCAGGCTTCTTTCCTCTTTCTCTGGTTGCAAGAGAAAGATCCATTGAAGAATCCTTTATTTGCCATCAGGGTATTAAGCTGGGAAATGAGGCTTATCAGTAAAGACATGCTCACCAGCCTGCAGTACAACTGAAAGCCTGTCGGCCTTTCGGGTGGAAGTGCCACTCTGTTAGCAAGTGCTGGTGTCTTTGCAGCAGAGGCAGCTGCTCAGGCACACAGGCTTAAAGCAATGGTACCTCTAATTAATTTAACAGAACTGGCCACATACAAGAAACTTTAATTTGGAAGTATTACCACTTTTAATTGCTGGTGTTACCCACCAGGCCTCCAGTCGCCCCTAAGGCACATCACACGGCTGCTCCTCAAGCAGGAGGAATGAGCTTAGCTGCCCTGCATGCAGGAATCACCCCCAATGTTTTCCTGCTGCTTCCTTGGGTTCCCAGAAAGGCTGGACCCTCTCTCCAGGAATGCAGAGAAATATCTTAAGGCTGCTCGGCTTATTGAAATGCACCAAAGCCTGGGGAATGTTCATAGCCATGTCAGTGCTGTGCAGAATTGAGTTAAGAAAAGCAGGGCCCATGCCCTCAGCTGCTGGGGAGGACCGTGCCCAGCTGGTGTGTGTGCCGGCTGCAGCAGAGCCCCGCAGCCTGGGCGGGGGCTGCACTGGCGGGGGGACACCAGTGCCGTGTCCCCCACCTCCCCGAGCTGCGGCTCAGCTGTGCTTCGGAGCCCGGCCGGAGCCGGGGCCGTCCCGCAGCAGGAGGGCCCAGAGACGCTGCTCGGCCCGTCGGAGCCGCAGTGCCAGCCCGGGTGTGCCCGCAGGGCCATGTGAAAGGGCACCGAGCTTCTCAGGGCTGCAGCCGAGCACAAAAGGCAACGGGGAGCCTGGCTCTGAGAGCAGCGAGCTCTCTGCAGCACCGCCTTTACCCACTCCAATTTGCATGTGAAACAAACACTGAGCGCTGTGGGCTTTTGATACCAAGCTATAAATATAACTTTCACTCAACTCAAAGTACTTTGTTTTGTTATTTCTCCTTCAAAGCTGTTTTCTATTGATGCCAAATAGATTAATTGTATACAGCAACCAATGAATAAATAAATAACAATAAACTCCTTTCATCAGAAGAGTACAGCCTTTCATCTTTCCTCTATCACAAGAAAAAGGCCTAGGTCACTAAAGAAATACTGAAATAACCTTTCCTGAAAGCTAGTCTTGATCCTATTTTGATAATATTTTACCAAAGTTACTAAGTACATTAATTATGCACAAATTCTCCATGCTTAAACCATCCCCATTCACATCCAAACCTCTCTTGCTGATAATTTAATGAACTAACAGAACAGTCTAGCAGTGATTCTCTTTATATTTAGCTATGTCACATGATTAATTTTAAACGTAAATTTTGGAGTAAAACCAAATAAATAAGCCACAAAATTTTCTGCCATTTTCATCAAATCAGACACAGATTAGAAAAAAATAATAATATACAATATGAGGAAAAAATATCCTGTGAATTATGTAATTCATTAGTCAGGAGTGCTATTGGGTTGATTGCGAAAGGTGAAGCAGAAGCAGTATTTTGGCTTTTCCTGACTTCTTGTTTACGTCTTCTGTAACACATGGGGATCATTCGCGACTGACTGGGACTGTAAAAGGAAAGAAGCAGCTCCTGCCCATTGAGTTCTGGACGCTGAGACATCAGAATGCTTTCTATGGCTATCAACAAAAATTTATCTACTCCAGGCATCAAAGTGACAGGTTATCATAACAGGAAAGCTCTGTTTCTAATCAGTTATACAAAAAAAGTACACACAGATACGCATGGGAGAATTTGTTTGAACACAAAATCTGAAACACTCAAAAATGAAGGTTATAAATTTCTGTTAAAATGGTACCTCATTACTTCAATTTTCTTCTGCAAATACAGCAAAATGGTGTTGTGAGACATGGAGTATTTTATTTCTGAAGGCACTTCAAGTTTGAGTAGATAATGCAAATATTTGTCAAGTGTTCAGATTTAGGAAAAGCAGTTTGGTTAGATCAAAACTACTACTTGCTGTGAGTTTGAGCTCACATGATGCCAGTCCTGGTCAGCCCTGTACTCAAGTGCTGGGACTCAGACCATACCCAGGCATTCCCAAGCTGTATTATCCTCACAGTTAATAGCAGGAGGGGTATTTCCAGGGTGGAATTCATCCAGCTGTATGGGGGACAGTGCTGGACAGCACTGGGGTGGCCTCACTGGGCTTAGCCACAGCTGGGACTCAGTCCTTGGCCATGTCAGTGTTGCCAGGGGATGCACAGGGCACCCGAGTCAGCACCACAACAAAAATACTCACCAGGCAACATCTGCCTCTCTAAAAAGTTTTTACACTGCCTCTGTGTGGGAGTAATTCAAAGAACTACTGTGAGTCAATGTACACATTTGGTGGTTTTGGTACATTTTAAGCTTAACTAGATGTCTGATGATACTGGATGTATCACTAAAAGGAGTGTGGCTGCACTGAGTTTTAAGATTTGAAGGGAAAAAAAAATTCTCATCCAGATATTCAGTTAATGTTGATTTGAATACAAGATTTTTTAAATAATAGACAGATTCTGAATGTACAGTTCTCGTGAAAGAACAAACATCTAAGGGTTTAAGTATCCTAGTTTGAAAAACCTTACTTTTAAGAGCAGCAAGATTGTTTATTGAGCTATTTATAAATGGGGAAATTGATAGTTTGCTGTATAATTTGTTTGCAGTTAATTTTAATCAGTATGCATTTCATATTTTCTGCATAGACACAAATCCTGAAAAACTGACAAATGTGTTAGAAAATATTGCTTGAAAACATGGAATGGGCTGTTACAATTTCAAATGCTGAAGCATAAATGCTGCACCTCTGTACTGATTCAAATATTGCAGGTTTTTACTTATTAATAAAATATATTAGTAATATAAAATAATAACGTATAATTATATAATAATATAATAGTATTATATTAATTATTTACTAAAGTTTCTATTTCCAGAAATCTGGACTCTGTAAAAAAATAAAATCGCTAATTAAATACAAGCCCAATGGACCAGAAAATGAATTCCTTTTTGAGCATTGATCTGGAAATGGAAAACAGATTTTAGAAGGAAAAACATTTTTTGTTGACAACAAATAGATCAGGGGGAAAGAAAGCAGAGATCTCCAAAACAGGAAATCCATGATGACAATAAATATGTTATTTTGCTCTTTGCAGCTAAATATCATCATCTCCTGTTAACACTTAGTATGTTCGTACATAGTCATAGAGGAATATGTACTGAAATCATGTATGAAGACATCAAGGGATGGTTTATTTTTTCAATGTCTTCAAGCCCCCGGGCTGGCTCCCTCTCGTGGTTACCGGCAGCTATTGCTTCGGGAAAAGGGAAAGCACAATTCAGAGGCAACCAATAAATAGTGGAGAGGGGTGAGGGTAAGAGAACTATAGGAAACAAGTAAGTGGAAATATAAGAGTTATAATAAATATAAGATAGACCCTTACAGAATTAATTGAATTCAATCCTTTTCATTCGTTGTCTCATAACAAGACTATTGAATGAAATCAATAGCAATTGAGGACAAATGTGGAATGCATTAATGCTGCTGTTCTGTAACTTGTGGCAATGGGTTCCATGGGCGCGGGACAATGTTTTAGCAAGTTCAGGGCAAGACCAAAATTTGACAAGTTCACAATAGCTGTATTTTGACCTTTAGCTAACCAAAATGGAACAGATATTCAGAAGAACTATCATACAATCAAGTCACTCTGTGACTGTCTGCTACAGAATTTCTTGTACTCAAGAAATGTATCACATGCATCAGGAATTAACGTTACATCCTTTTGTGTTTGTGGTCTTTGGTGCACTGTCTTCTAAAACACCACTGTCGGTTCTTTGCAGCTCCTGTTATTTCTATGCCACCTCAGGATGCCCAGAATTACACAGGCAATGATGTCATTTTTGGCTGTGAGGTGTCAGCCTATCCTATGCCACACCTTGAATGGAAAAAAAAGGGGAATAAAATGTTTCTGCCAGGAGATGACACCCACGTCTCAGTTCAGGTAAAACTTGAGTTTTCCATGGCATACAGTTTGGCAAGAGGAGCAGGGTGGTTAATCTGTGCATTCCTCCTACAAAACACAATACTGTTGCAATAAATAGATTCCCAATAGGGGCCCTCTGACTATACAAAAAATGATTATTTCAGTTAATGCTTTGGCAGTCCCAGCAGAAGGAACAACAGCCAGGGTACCATCTGGCCTGCTCAGGGAAAGAAACAATGGAAGAGTCTCTTCATGTAGGTCTGATTCTGAAAAAAACTGAGCAAACACATAAATGGAACCATTTGGGCTACTGCCTGAAAGAAGGAACATTCTGGGAAGGATGGCTGTTTGCAGCACCTTTTCTACTCTTGAGGTAGGAAACCTGGTTCTGACAGGTATCTAAAGCTCTCCTGTGCAAGATGCTGTTTCTGAGAACTGTCATTTGGGTTCTGTCCCTGAAGCATTCATAAGGAAATCAAAGAAACTGGTTCATTTTATGGTGGCCTTGGTGTTTTAATCTGAGGGGAATGAGTAGAATGGCATTGGTATAGGCTTCAAGCAAGTCTAGAAATAGGCTGAAAGTTTTAGCTGAAACCAAATAAATCAAAATGTTAACGCTTTTAAATGGAAATAACATTCTGGGCTGGCAAACGATGCCAGCTGTACAGGCAGCCTGCAGGAAGGCTGAAGCCTGTACTAATGCATTCCCCAATGGTCAAAAAACATGAGCAGAGACTATGCAGTGAAATGCATGGCAAATTTCTGGATACACATCCCAAAAGCAGTCAGATCCAATGGACATGGGGCACAACCTGAAAAAACGGTAGAGAGGAAAAACATAGAAAAAGTTAATTAAAGTACCAAAAATACCAAAGTACCAGAAGTGGAAGTTATTCAGAAATTCTTCCAGAGGCAGAATGAACACAGGTGGGATTAGTGGATTTAAAGTTGCTGAGAGACAATGGTGCAAGGAGCCACATACAAATGTTGGTCACCTCAGAGGCTAAACTGACCCCTGTTTACCTATCTCATTAATACATTCAGCATGAGAGCATCTCTGTTAACATCTCTGAATGGGTTTGCATTATTTGTTTGGCAAAGAAAGCTCACCCCTTTAGGAGGCTCTAGTCCAAGCCAGTAGAAACTGATTGTCATGAAGTGTGAAAGCTCCTGGAATGTCATGCCAATCCACTAAAACCTGGCTGCTGAGTGGCAGCTTGGGCAGGCCCCTTGGCCCTGAACAACTCACCCAGATCCACTCCCTGCTCTCATCCTGAAGAAATTGCTGAGCTTGAGAACAAGGGGCAATGCTTTGAAGGAGCAGCAAGTGGTGCCGGGACAAAAGACAGGAGGAGCGCTGGGAATCAGCAGCACGAGAAGGAACAGGAATGAGAGAACTGTGAAGGGCAATGAAGGTGAAAGAGCAGAGATGGGAGCACATGAACCCAGAGGTGCAGAGCAGTAAGAAGGTAAAACATAGAGCAGGAACAAACAGAACCAAAGCACAATGGCACTAAAAAAAAAAAAGCAAAGGTTGTAATGATATTTAATCCATTCACAATTATTTTGAGAAATATCATGGTGTCTCCTAGCTACTTTATTTCAAACATTTCTTTCCTTCTCAAAGGCAAGAGGTGGGCCTCAGAAGTATGGCGTGACAGGTTGGCTGCAGATTCAAGGACTCAAAAAGTCAGATGAAGGCATTTACATCTGCCACACCAGAAATAAGTATGGTGCAACATATGCCTCTGCAAGACTGAAAGTCGTTGATGGTAATTTTTTTTATTTGGATGTAAAGAATATAAAAATGCATACAAACAGGCTGCAAAGGATGGGTTTGTCAGAATGCAGATGAAGGATAGGAGAAATTACCCAAAAGTGCCCATATTTTAACTTTTCTGGGTGTTTTTCTTTTACTTTATCCCCTAATGGGTTGATATTGTAATATTTTGCTGCAAATTATACCAGCTCCCAGAAAACAGAAAGCTGTGGATTAGAGCCATACAGCTGAGACATATCCTTATCCTACAGAAGTCCTTTGATATTAGTAGGACCCAGAACAACAGCTGTTGTAGCTGAGGGAGTCTTTGAACCATGGCAGGTCTGCTTAGCTGTTTATTTTTCAAAAAATTAGGAAGGAAACAGTTTTTGTTCCTTAATGAGAGTGATTAGAAAGATGTAAGAAATAGCTCTGCTGTTGTTTTGTATTGGGCCCAGACTTTCAGAATAACATCCTTCTTCCTCCAAGGAACTGGCTTTCCTGGCAAATTTAGAATAAGGATACATTGTCTTATATTTGCCTCCTGATCTAGAGGAGTTTGTCACTAATCTAGTTTCTGCAAGTGGCTTTCAAAGCTTTTCTGCCTCTGGTAATACTTGCAGGTGCAGAGGACCTGCAGAGGACTGACCTCATAGTTTACTAGTATTGAGAATTAAATGCATTTTCAATATGTCCTCAGCACAGGAAAGATGTGGACCTGTTAGTGTGGGTCAGAGGATGCCACGGAAATGCTCCAAGCGCTGGAGCACCTCTGCTATGGAGACAGGCTGAGCAAGATGCTGGTGTTAAGCCTGGAGAAGAGACGGCTCTAGGGAGACCCCAGAGCCCCTTCCAGTGCCTAAAGGGGGGTTATAAAAAGGAGGGAGAGGGACTTTTTATACAGGCAGGACAGACAGTGGTTGGACAAGGTAGAACAGTTTTAAGCTAAAATATGAGAGATTTAGATTAGATTTTAGGAAGAAATTTTTGGCTGTGAGGATGGTGAAGCCCTGGCACAGGTTGCCCAGAGAAGCTGTGGCTGCCCCATCCCTGGAAGTGTCCAAGGCCAGGTTGGACGGGGCTTGGAGCAACATGGGCTGGTGGGAGGTGTCCCTGCCCGCGGCACGGGGTGAATGAGATGAGCTTCAGTGTCCCTTCCAACCCAAATTATTCTGTGATTCCACGATTCTATACAGAAATTTGCTCATGTATCACAAGCTTCAGTGGTATGAGGTCAAGTCATCAGATAAAACCCCTCTTCTTTTCATAGATAACAAGGATTCAGAAACACTGAACTTGCTATATGAATCCAAACCTGTACTTTCAACTTTGTTCCTATCTTCAACTATTTTAATCTGGATTCAATTATGCTTTGCAGACCCATCTCCTCCATTTGCATTTACTGCTGGCAGTAGAAGTGCAAGCTACAGCATTGAATATGAGGACTATTATGACAATTCTGATGAAGATGATGATGAAGAATATGAATCCGGGGACTACGATAATGGAAACAACTCTGAATAATAGTTTTTATACATCTGTTGTCCAATACCTTTCACACTGTTATATTTATCAGTAATCTCTGTGCTGTAAATGGCTCCTCTGCTAACACATGTATATCCACCTTCCTGAAATTCAGCTTTGGATAAAGTGTATCATGCTACTCAGCAGAAATAAGAACAGTTGTAACACCTCACATTTAAATTGTTAAATATAATGCTTCAACATGCACCTTTCTACTAGATATACCAAAGGCATCAAATTTTATGTTAATTTTAAAATTATTTTATAATTTCTTTCACACATTCTAATTTGTCTAGCAAAAATGTCAATAGTTAAACAAAATTTTTACCTTGTCTCAATTTGCTTTTTTTCTATAATGTACTACAAAATATCAAAAGATTGTTCACATGGTAACAAGCCTAAGTATGGAGTTTGCAAACTAGTCTTTAATCTCCTTAGTTCCTGTTTTCTCTTAAGTTTCAGCAAGATTTTCCTTCTCATTTGAAATGTTCCATGATTAGTCTCATCAAATGTGAATTATGTGTCTTTTGGGGGATTATTTTGTTTACTTTTAATAGATACATGAAGCAATCCCAGTCTAAAGCAAGTAAGTGCTGTTTTATTGGCAATACTCAGATATTCCTAGAAAAGATTCTTTGTGCATTCAAGCAGCTGAGCACACCTTTGAACTCCTCTTTGTAACAGCTCCTGCGTTTCTCCTCAAAGTGCTGGCTCCTTCCCCCAGCCCAGGGAGCGGTTCAGAGTTTGGGATGGTTACTTCACTCTGAACAGGGCAGTGTTTGGTGGCATCACTGCAGTTTAAAGGCAGCAGTGGCTCTGTAGCTCGGTGCCTGCTTTTCAAACACAGAGATCTGCCCTACAAGGGTTCCTTTATCTTGTGCTGTGAACAAATTGCTCCTGCTCTGACCCATCCATGCTATGTCCGACTAAAGCCCAGACAGCATTGCCAGGCTGCTGGAAACGGCAGCAGAAAAGCAGGAATCGTTCTTTCTGAAACCCACTGAACACATGCACATTATTCAAATCGACCCACAGGAACCAGACAGCAAAGGAAACAGGTTCAAAAACACGATACTTCTGAGTGTAGAGTGAAAAATTTCTCCACTTGCTTTTGTTAACTATTTACATGAAGGCTGGCTCTGAATTAACATGTGACTGAAGACATCAACTATGAAACCCACTTCTGGGGGGCACTTACATCTCTGGTTCCTATGGGCAGATGAACAGAGGTAAATTACTCAACATTTAGGACTAAGGAAGCAGAAGTTCGGGCAACTGCTTGGAAAGCCTTGGTATCTGCAGTCTTCTTCATCCAAGGGACAAACTCACATAGTGATTACTGCACACACCAAGGTAACCATGAGTTAAATTGATGGCGACAAGAAAGCTTCAGGGGCAATGCTACTGTATGCATACACATGTAGGATTTTTAAGCATACACAATGCATCACAAATTCCTTCTTTAATGTGCTATTTGCACCTTTTTTGCTATTAGAAAGATTTTTTCCTTTCAATTTGAATTACTTTAGGAAATTGGCTATAGACTGTGTTTGCCCTGAGGTATTATTGACCTTTGCCCAGGTAGCAAACAAGCAAAGAATAATTTATTTCGTTTCAGACTTCACAGAGTATTGTCAACTTGTGATAAGAAAGCATGTAATTGTGTCACTGAAAAAGACTAATTAGTTTAAGTTAGGACTATGAAGTGGCTTCATATTTGATTACTGATTTTGCTTTTATGGACTCTTCCTGGTCTTCTTAGTGATATGTCTAGTAACTTCTTTTGTTTATCCACTATATATTAACTTGAACATAAAGTTATCTGGTAGAAATCACTGATTATTTTTTATGAAACTATTTAATATATTCAGGATCAATTGTCATCAGCATTGCAAACTAATGAATTAGAGTACTAAAGTCATCACTAAATGGTGGCAATATATATTGGCATAGCCTGGTACATGGCACAGAAAATAATCTTGAAATCATTAGCCATAGAAAGAAATTAGAATTCTTCAGGGCCTTTTGCTGTTGTTAATGTAAAATGAAAAACAGAAAGAAAAGAATGTTTGAATGAACAAATATGCAGCACAACCAAAACAAATACCAGTCTGTGAGTGCTTGGCCTGATGGACTATGTCTATTTAAGAAAAGCTAACCTTCGCAGAACAAAGGATTCTAAATTAAATATGTTGCATTTCTCTTGTATGTATTTTTTTAATATATTTAACAATATATAAGCCATTCCTTTCAGTAAGAAAACTGCATTTTAGGAAAAATACCAATGTGATGCAAAAAGACAAGGAACACTGATACCCTACACAATTCCTAGTTCCTTTTTTATGGGAGAAGACAGAAATGGCTGGTTTTGTTGACATGCTTTAATCAAGTCATTTAACATTAAATTATAAAAAGTATGGAGAAGGTTCAGCCCTCTCTAAGCAGCATGGCAAATGAATGGATCTAACTGTGAATGGATTGCCTGTAGCAACAGATAACCCAAAGTAAGAGCAAGTTCAAAAAGCTTGTTTTATTCCACCTAGCAGGAAACAAGCTGGAAACTATGCTTTAGTCCTGGTACTGTATCTTGTGAAGCAGACCTAAACCCTTGTTTGATTGAGCTTCCATTGAACACTGCAAGAATTTTGTTATTTTCCATGGAAGCAAGTCTGAATTTCATGGCACAGCTTCCTCCTGTCACATAATCATCTTTACTCTGTCATCTCCCCCTCCCATGTAAAGGTAAAGACATTCTATAAAAGTTGCCAAAGAAATTATGCTACTTAATGAGCTTTGTCCTTTGGCCTAGGACCCTGACATAGGCTGGGGTATTTTCACAATCTAACATTCTTACTTGCTGTGGTAAATCTCAGGAGTTTTGTCAGGTATTAGTCTAGGAATCCACTAATTCCACTAGACCAATTTCTTTCCTCTTAAAATAATCAGGCTATAGTTGACAGAAATCGGCTATAGAAAGGCAATTGTGTTTCAGAGATTAAAATAATTCAATGATGATTAAATCAGTTGCAGTCACAGGGCTGCACTGTGCAGCTGAGCACAGAGCCAAGTGTGTGCTCCCTGCCTGTCCCTGGCACAAGCTTTGTGCTCTCCACTTGTTAGTGCTCAGCTGTCACCACATGGAGACCCAGGCTGGGGGGAAACAGACGTTCCTGGCTAGGAAGAAACACACTTATTCCAGACAAGCTGGAAATTAGCTCATCCTGCACAAACCCCATTTCTCACTCACACTTAGGTACATGTGCTGTCCATAGACTCTGCTCCTTAACTGTTTATTTAACTTATTCACCTCATTTCTGTTTTAATTTTGCTTCGGTCTCAAATAATTAATTAAGGTATTTTGTACAAAAATGTATGGTTAAGTGATTCAACTGTGATAGTTCATGTACAAAGAAATTACTTTTCTTCTCCCCCCTATTAAATTGTCATAACTCAACCTTGCTACCAAAGATGAATCCAGCAAATTCATGTTTTCATTCCAGATCTAAAGCAATTTCTATTTCCTGAGACATTCTACCACAGTGGGCCTCTTCTTTGGGGCTACCAGGCTTCACATGGGAATATTTGCAATGCAGGTGATGAAGCATCAGGGAAACATATTGACCTTCTTCTGTGCTGATTTACATTACATGTTTTCCCCACTAACCCTGAATTATTCCTTTAACTCTAGAAAGAGAATGTCTTGGATCAGACCCAGTCTTTGCAGTACTTAAGTAGTAAAATGTCTGTGGTAACTTAACCATGTTGGCTGTCACAGGCTCCACCTATTGTCTAACCACCAGTGGTTAGCAAAAATGGGATTCATCTCATTCAACTGGAAACCGAGACAAATTTATTCTCTAAATTTTATTTCCTTTATAGACACCTATAGAAGAGGTTTCCCCCTTTCTGGGATCACAGTGTAATCTGTCCCTTCGGATGCAGATTTAACTGCCTGAGCACCACCTATTTGCCCTGTTGGATTGAAGCAGCGTTCCGTGTTTTTCTACTCTCAGAACACTTACTGCACTTTCCACAGCGGAATCCAACTCCCGGCTGCTGTGCTGGTCCAAAACCTGCCTCAGCAGCACAGGCATCGGTTTGCATCTTTTCAGTACAGACGGAGCAACACCACGATGGCTTGGCCCATGTACTGACTATTTGTATTTAAATATAAGAAATTCATGCTACATTGAATTACTCCCACGCAACTTGTGAACTGCTGTTGTAAAACGAGAATATCCTTATAAATCTCTCACAGTCTGAGAGTAAATTCTTTGGAAATTGTGCGTTAATCTGCACCGCGCCAGGCCAAATGAAGGTGTACGGCAGCACTTCGGTGCGGTGACTACTGAAATCCACGGCTCCGTTCGGCTACCGGGACCCCGCGGGACGAGCACAAAGACGAAGCCACCACACGACCTCGACCTGCACGGACAAAATGGCGCGCCCGTGTGAGGCGGCGCCCCGCCCCGGCGCCCGCCCCGGCGCCCGCGCCCGCCCGCCCCGGCGCCGCCCCGGCGCCCGCCCGGCGCCCGCCCCGGCGCCCGCCCCCGCCGCCCGGGCGCCGCCCGGCGCCGCCCCGGCGCCCCCGCCCCCCGCACAGCCGGCCGGCCCCGGTGCTGCTCCTGTCCCCGCTGGCTCGCCGCCTGCTCTCGGCGTCACTCGGAAGATGGCGCTGCGTGTCCAGGTCGGTGCGCCCCGGCAGAGCGGTGAGGCCGGCGGGACCTCTCCTGGTCGTTGGAGCGCGCCGGGGCTGTGCGGGGCCGAGGCCGCCGTGGGGCTGCCCTGGGGGACGAGCCCGGGAGTGTCGGGGCGGGAGAGGGGCTCCTGAGGTACGCGGTGGAGCCCAGGTGGTGCGGGGCGGCGCGGCCCGGTGGCGAGCGGAGCAGGGGCCGTAGGATGCGGAGCGCCGACCTGGGCAGCGGGGCGACAGGTGCCCAGAACGCGCCTGCCCCGGAGCCGCGGCGGTCCGGCTGGGCTGTCGGCAGCGGGACACGCCCGTACGGAGCCGGTACCGGCGGGCGGGTTCGTGCTGCCATCGCCCCGCCGTGGCGCTCCCGGGAGCCGCTCTCAGGTTGCGGCGGCTCCACGGCGCTGAAACAGCCGCACCTGCCCCCGGTGCCACCGCGCTCTGAAGGCGGCGCTGGGCTCCTCCGCCACTTCTTCACTGAAAACCAGAGGCAGCCGGGCTCCGGGACTTGTCCGAGACGAGCATCAGCCACTGAAACTGCCCTCAAACAAGGGAGGAAGGAAAGGGGAGGCGGGAAAGGGCCTCGGGAGACACCGCGGTGTCAGGCGTGTGCCGTCATCTCTCGCGGCTTCACTGCACTGGTGGCAACAGGCTTTGACACTGTTAGAGAGGCCATTTTAGGCATTTATTTAAATACTTGGGTACCAGGCACGGCACATAAAAGGACCACTAAAATACCCTTTTTTTCTTTTTTTCTTTTTTTTTTTTTTAAACTGGCAATTAAGTTACGTGCATCATGTTGCTCTTGCATAAACCTGGTGGAACTTTCTTCATAGAGTGTTTTCAGTCAGCAAATTCTGATTAAAATCAAAACATCTGAGGGAATTTGTTAGTGTCAGCAAAACTTCGATTAGGAGCCTGCCTGGTTTCCTGCCAGTTTGCTTGGCTCGTGGGCTGCCTGGGGGTTTCTACGGGGACAGGCCCCCAGCATTTCTGGCCCTTGGTTCTTTCACAGGAGAGTTGCCAGGGACGTCGGGGAGCTGGAGAGGTAGGACTAGAAGTATCCAGAGAACTTTATTCAGCATATTCATGAGTGTTATGAAAACGTGACGACCGGGGTGGGGGTGGGGGTGGGAAATCATAGTATCTAACGTTTTTTATTAGTATATGAATCTGTTTCTTGGAAAAAGTTCCAGTTCTTTGTGATCAAAAACGCCATTTCTTATTCAGATCTGTTTCTACTCCCATCTCACTTAAAGCAGCCAGCATCTGGTAGCTGGATTGTCTCCACTGACACAGTTGTTTTCTCAGGAATCACCTTTCAGCTCTTGATCAGGGTTTGAGTAAGTGAGGTATCTGAAGGCATTTTTATCTCATATTAAAGAAGGTATTGTGACAGTCTTGTGTTTCCTTAGAGAAAATACCTATCTAATCTAGAGAGAGCTTGTTTTTGACTTCTCATTGTTTTCTCCGATTACTTTTTTCTTAATAAAGTTAAATAATACCTCTGTTGCTCAGCCGAGTTGCCATCACACACAAGACGGTTGTATTTGCTCATTTCAAGTCATATTTTTTGGTTTTGCTATCAGAATCAAGGAAAAGCAGCATATTTCCTCAGTACCACACTTAAAATGTAACCCAGAGAACATCTAACAAGTTCACTGGCAGTCTGAGAATTCTGAGCACTTTGTGGCCATGCCTCCAGCCTGTCAATAAGAACCTTTGTCATAACATTCTCCTGAGAACAAACATGTCCAAATAAAGTATTTCAAAGAGCTGCATGTCATCAGTCTCAATATCAAATAAACCAGCTGTTCTTTGAATATCATTATCTAGTGTTTGTTCAGGCCTTACTTTTTTTAGCTGTCCTTCATAATTCTAACTTGTCAACAAGAAGTGATCCTTAGCCTAAATTTCTACATTTTGGTGTAACCTGAACACATTAACACTGTGCATTAAAGTGCACAGTGATTCCACTGTCAATTCTTTGTGTATAAATGATTGTTTAGCCAGCTTATAAATAATTTGCTATTTTAATGTCAGTTATCGTAGAGGTGATTTAGACCTTGGTGATTGGGCTGAAAGTTTTATTCTGTACTTTCTCAAACTTGTTGCCAAATTTGTCCAGACTTGAAAGTCAAATTTCTAATCAAATATAAGAGGGTCTTTAACTTTTGCTGACTATGGCACAATAGTTTGTTTCGTACTTCTTAGTTTGTATTGGGCTTGTTCCGTTGTGGAACGATGCATTGTAGTTATGTCTGTAGTTATGTACTCGTCTTTGCTAGATGTCCCTATTTGCAAGTTTTGCCCCAGTTGTGTGGGGTTTGTGTTGTATTTTCCCTAATGTATATGCTTGCATTTTATGAGCCTTAATGAGCTTTAATTGGTATGGATCTTGCCTCATTTAAAATTGCATTACTGGGATTGTTACCTGTTCCTTATTTTTCCTTTACTCTCAGTGTAGGGAGAGGGAAAAACAAAAGCAAAAGAAGTCTCTGTTGAGCTCAGCATTTGAGGTACTCGATCTGTTCACTCTAGGAGCAAATATCCTGTTTCTTAAAACTTCTCCAAAGGAACAAGTACACGGCTACTTTTTGATTGAAAATCAAGGACTCCTAAAATACCATCATTACTGAAATGCAGAAGGTGCAGATCAAATCCAGGGACTACCTGTGCACAACAAAAATGAGGAAAAGACGATGATCTTTTTTTAATGTCTCAAGGAAATTACATGCTTTGATTGACAAAACCAAATGTATTTTAGTTGCCAAAGACACTGTCTTGGAATTTTAAAAGACATTTGAACTACAGTATATGTGAGATAGATTGTGCTGAAATCCAGTCTTTTATTTAAAGTGCAAAACATATGTTTGGAAGGGCTGGTGAACAGGATTTTGGTTCAAACTTTTAAATGAGATTGGTGAAACACTATGTGTTCTCTTTTCTTTCTAGACCACACTCAAATCATGAAGTACCTTCTAATGACGTGGCCACTTTAGGAGAGTTATATAGGCTTTGGGAACCTGATGGATGCTAAAACTTCTGTTTATTTAATGGTTCCTAAAGGCGCTCAAGGGGTTCATCTCTCTTGTGAGACAGTGACTAGTAGATATAAATCATACTGCTCACACAGGAGGGAGAGGTTTCACATACACACCTTCTCTACCAAAGCGGAGAGGACTTTTAGCTCTAGTCTTGCTACTACAGCTTCTAAATTGTCCCATCTTTCACTGATATTTGCATGAATAGATGCATACAAAGCTACTTTTTTCTGGATGTGGTAATTTGATGAGTTTTACTGGTTTTAAAATAAATTTGCCAGAAGTTTTCCAGGTAGCGTAGCTCAAACTTGACCATTCTCCATCTTTCATCTCCCTTTGGGCTTCCCATCTGAAGGCTCAGAAAAACAGATGGATTGAACCATAGTAAAAAATACTTTGATAGCTAAGAGAAGAAATGGCAGTTTAATTTCAGTTTTTTTGCCTTCTTGTCACAGAAGGCATCCTAATTTTTTCTAATTGAATTGTGAAACAAGTGGAAAGCTGAGCATAGGTAACAGTTCATATTTCTGCTATGGTATCTAAAATTATAAACAAAGAAATCTTATGTGGCTGAAAAGTCTTTGTGGAAGTTTCAGTCGTGTTGTTCCCTTAGGAGAGTCTGGCAGAAGTAGAGGTACTCTGTAACCACCTGTCTGGAGGAACTGATCCAGCCCAGCAAACGCAAGCTGAGAAGGTCCTGCCAGAATTTATTGATAGCCCTGAATGTCTCAGCCAACACCAGTGGCTGTGGGAACAAGGCATGGTGAGTGTCTGGGAGGTGTGTTATCCATGAAGGTGATTATGCTCATGGAAGCTCACGCAGATTTCTCAGTCATGGGCCACTACTAGGTCAGGACAATTAAGGCAAAATGCTTTTCTCTTTTTATATCTAAATGATTTTTATCTAAATGGTCTTTGTGGAAGTGACTATAACCTGCACCAGAGATGTCAGGCACAAAAGGAGGAAGGATCTCAGCTTTCAGTACTTTCAGAGGGGTTATAATCAGGGATTGTGTCATCTGTAGAGCAGTGTTGGGACACAGTGTGATATAATCTGGTGGTTCTCGTTTTGTTCTCGTTTCTAGCTATGAAACAGATATCATCCCATCAAAAGGGATGAAAGTTGCAGGCCTCAGCTTTTTTATCACTGTTTTGTAATTTATGTTTAGTTACAATGAAACAAAGATGGTACTAAAATACACCTTTGATAAAGTTTTGGTACACTTAACAAAATGATTTATTCATTATTTATCAGGTTTTGATGTATTTTCCCTGCCTTTATTTCACTCATTTTTGAATAATACCTTCTGATGTGTTTTTGTGGGCATCCTACATGCAGATTCTAGCAGTAACGTGTCTGCCTAAGCTTGTCAGCAGGGCTCCCCACTGCCTGTTGAACACAGAATTGACATTCATGAGTAATGTTTGTTGTTAAAATGTCAATATATGAGTTGGAGCTGAAACTCCGTTAAGCACATTCTGGTTGTTCCTTCAGTTGTACTCGCAGTTTACCAAGCCTGGTTTTCATAAGGTGATCATTGTGTGAGAGTGAATGTAAAGGTGATTATGAGATCTTCCATCATTTCTCTGCAATTAACTCACAAATAACATTTTGTATTTTCAAAATTAAAATAAATATTTTTGCTCAGATTACTTCATATTTTGAAAAAACTGCTCATTTTTTCAAAGTAGACTTTGTATTTATTCCATAAGATGCTAAAGAGATTCAGCTCATGTTTGTAAAGGATAAAAGTTGCAGATATTTCTGGTACACCCGCTAGTCAGTCACGTCACGTTGCTGATGTTCAGCTCTTAATATTTGTAAAAGTCATGCCAAGGCAGCTTCAGACTTGCAGGACTAAGAGCCTACATAGTTTTCCTTACTTTTTAGGATCTATGTTAAAGCCATTGCTATATCCAAAAAGAATGAGCAAGTATGCATTAGGTCTTTAATAGTGAAAAGGCTTTGCATAAGAAGCTTATGATTCAGTTTGGATTTTTAGAAAATCTGCACTGTTGTGTCAGTTCTGTGGACAGCAGTACCTTGAAACACAGGGCTGAGAACCTGCTGCTTCTGATAAAAGTTTTTAGTGTTCTTTTAGGTAAAAATTAACTTTAATCAACTTGAATTTTATACATTTCAACAACTTTTGAAACAGCTTAACTTCCTTTTAGTTAGAGCAGAGTTTCCAGAACTGCAATGTGCATTTCCCATTCCATGGGATGTTCTATATTGAATTGAGAACATTCAGTAGGGACTTTTATCTGTGAAAACTTGTGTTTATTTTGAGTTGACTGTGAGAGCTGCTGTTATGTAGTGAAATAATACCCAGTGTATGGGATTGTAATGAATAATTAGTGTTTTACCTGCCTGTAATTCAGTTCTCTGAATTAAAAAAACTGTTTTCATGTGTCCTAGAGTAATGATCATGTATGTAATGTACTTTGTGTTACTAAACATTCAGCTGGATTTAATGATTTAACAGAACTTACAGTTATTGTGCTAACTATAAGAATTCTTTTTTTTTTAAATCCATAGCTTAAGTTTCTATTAGAATTATTTAGCTCATTTTCTTTACAGAAGACTTGTGTTGCTGATTTTAAAATGCTTTGTTACAAGAAATTACATTCTGAGCTATGTATCTTTTCAACCCAAACTGGCTCCTTTTGTCATCCAAGCTCTTATTCAAGTCATTGCTAAAATTACAAAATTAGGATGGTTTGATGTATCAAAAGATCAGCCTATATTCAGAGACATTATTACTGATTTAAAAAAATTTTTGCAGGTAGGAAACAATTTTTTACTTCTGCCATTTTTTTTGTTTTTGTTCGGACCTCTTCATTTATAGTTATTGGCATATTATGTCTCTTAGTTTGATACTTGGGTGGCAAAAGCATAAAGAGCGTTGCTTAAAGCAGAAGATCGCCCAGCAGTGAAGAACCAGGGTGGGTTTGGCACTTGTGTGAGGTTGGGGAGTTTGATGCCTCACGGTATTCGTGGTGTTGTCACGGATTTTTGTTGGTTTTCTTTTTCCGAAACAGTCTTTCGTAGTGTTGTTGTAAAATAGCAGCTCCTGTTGTCAAGCCATTCTGTTTAATGCCTTCATTTTTTCCAGTTACTGTGGAGATACATTTCTGATACATGTCTGTGTAAACATTAAGCCCAGTACTTCTGTTGACAAAAGTAATGAGAAAATTTAAGCTATTTGGCAATTTCCTTCCAGGATCATCTGTTATCTGTGTATGTGGTGGTGATCCTGGTAATTCAGCAAGAAAATACGAAGTTAACCGTTTTTGTTTCTTGCTAATGAGTTTCTCCTTTGCTTTTCAGTCTTACTTTGTTTATAATACTGTTTGAGTTAATGTACTTTTTGAGTTATTTTGGGAATGCCTAATAAAAGATAAGTTGCAATAATCTGTTTATTAAAAACAAACTCAAGTATACTTCTCTACCATTTTGCAGTTATTTTTATGAATGTACTATAATTGGAATTTGCATTTATTATTAAAATGATTGCAGTGTGACTCTTCAGTGTGCAGCTCATTAAAAACAGAGATTTAAATAAAACATTTAGCTTCTTAAGAGATTTCTTTAGTTAAATTAAGAATTTCTGTGGAAAAGAAAATTAAGTCATAGATCTAGTGAATTAAATTTTATACAAAAATTGAAGAAATAATCCTTAAACAATATTAGATATGTCAATAATTAGCCTATGGTAGTTTCAAATACATATGCATTAGCATTCTGAATTGAGGTTCCTCCAGTGTGAATTTGAATGTGATTTATTATTGAGAAAGGGATTAGCAGTTCTTTTCCCAGCTCCTTCGTAATTAATCACACAGGTTTTCACATGTGATAATGGGGAGGTTGCATTTTCTATTTTTACATGTTTGCATGATCTAAGGAACATTCCTATGGACTATTTTAAGAATTTGAAATGTAAAGGAAAGTTGTGTTCAAATTACAGTGTAGGATGTTTAGTCTTACTGAAGGCAGATAGGGCAGCAATGTTAATTTTGCCTGAGAGCTCCCCTCATTTGTCTCTTCTGATTTGCTTTTGTGCAAGTGATGATGCAAAACAGATGGCAGTGAAAAGTTAGGCCCCTTGGTAAGTAGTCAGACTTTTCTTTAGTTGAACTTCGGGTGATCTTCAGAGTTGTAAAAATGAGTGTAATTGTGACAAATAGCAGGAAAATTTTGACAAGGATGACTTGACATTTTGGGCACCGGGGGAGCTGAGGCTGCAAACTGCAGCTGTGGAAGTACACATGGAGATCTTCCCCTGGCTCAATGGCAAGGCCTCATTGCAGTTGATTTTAGTTATATTTAACAAAGTAGATTTAATTTTTCTATCAATGCTTTGTGGTAGCTCAGTGAAGACAGTTAGATTTTATTAATTATTTGCACAATTCTGCATTGTATCTGAATTTCAAAACATTCCAAGGATCTTAATTTCTGATGATCAGATCGTACACTCAAATGGAAATACTGAACACCTCTGCCTCACTTTTTAGACACAAGTTCTCAGAGATGAAATGTATGATTCGCTTCCAAACAATGCATTATAAACTACTGTAGAGGGAAAAGAATTAATTTTTTGACAGGTAGCATTGCAAAACTTTGTTTTTTCTGAGAGTACTCTGTGATCTTTTTCATCCATTCGTGGCTTAATTTTTTCTAATGGTTTGAATTTCATGCAGCTTGCCTTACAAGTACTAGAATACTGAACTTTGAGAGGTGTAGTAGTGACTTTCCAGACTGCAGTTACTCAGAGTTTATTTTCAGATGGGGTTTTGTTATCAGACAATTCTTAAAATTTATGATGAGGGTTTTTTTCAGAGATAATTAGGAAGCTTGGAGGTCTAGTTCCGTTAATGCTGATGAAATTTGGTGTGAAAGCCTTCTAAACAGCTTAGGATATCTCAGCCTAACAACTCCTCTTGATTCTAGAAATGTTGAAAAATATTAAGTACAATCTGATTGTAGTAATGCTGGAAAATGGTAACTACAAGTGCTGATATTTGAGCAATCCTGTCTTTTTTTTCCCGTAGGGCACTGTGGACCATAGTACAATAGAAGTAATGCTCCTCTCAGAACTGATTTGGGAAATTAATCTAGTAAGCATTGGTTTGTTTTTTTCCTTCTGCAAGTGATGCTGGTAAAGCCGTGGATGGTTCAGCCCTTCATAAAAATGGTTTGAGAAACATTTCTTAGACATCAAGGGATTAAAACACCTTCCTCCCCCACCAAAATACACAGAGGCACAAGAGATTCTTAGTACAGGGACTCTACCAGTACCAGATACGTTTCCCTCATCACAGTCACCAGAACTAGTAAAACCCAGTGAAGTGAACAATCAACTTTTTCAGTTGTGTTTCTGCTAATGACTTTCTTTGCTTACATCTTACCCCGAGGAAGTGCCTCAAACCTGTCCATCCAGAAAGAGGAACAAACTTGAAGGGAAAAAAGGAGATGTGTCAAAAACCTGATGAGACCTGCATTTAGTGCTGGACCATCATTTTAATTTCTAGTGTCAAATAATTAATCTGCCAGATATCCTCTTCATCTAGTTTGAGCAAGGAAGGGAGCGTTGTTTATTCTGTCCTTACTTTTCTCAGGTTGATTATTCAAGACCTTCAGCAAAACATTGTAAAATAGCTGCCACATTCCATGACACCTCCCTGAAGGACATACTGATGCTTGTGTGCTCTCTTTTGAAGGAGGTGAGGCTTTTTATGATTGAACCTAAATTGTTAATGTCATTATTGTCCCTTTATATTTTCTGGCTTGATGAACTCTGTACTTAAATGGATTACATGACACCCAATTAAGCTCAAGTGATCAAAAAGGATTCAAAGACAAAAATTTCTATCTTCTTCCTTCCCTGCCTCTCTTGCTGTCTCTCAATCTCTCTGTGCCGTCTCTCTCTTTTTATATCTTGCCAGAAAGGTTGAACTATCTAAATTCTGGGCTTGTCTTCTTTTTATGTTTTGCTGGGTCCTACCATCTCAGTACTTGCTAAAAGAATTAATTCACTGAACTGGAAGCAACCAAAAAGAAAGACAAATTCTTGTGGATAGGCAGCGCAGTCAGATCAGGCCAAGATGTTTTTCTCCTTCACTAGTTCCCTCATCCTCTCTATAACATTGGGGGGTAATTGAAGCCTCTCAAGAGCCTTGACAGGAGGTGGTGAAGAGCAGCATGCTGTAAGCTGGGTCTCTGAGCTGACATCAGAGCTGGAATGATTTTGTGCTGATCAAGACCTTCCATAGCAGTGGAAGTGGCACCATCAGGTACATTCTACTTCTCTTAAGTTCACATATCTCTGCTTTTGAGAGCAACTTATTTTTTAAATGTTGCATGCCCAGAGGGTGGTGGGGAACGGTGCTGCGTCCAGTTGGCCACCAGTCACTGGTCGTGTCCCCCAGGGATCAGTGTTGGGCCCAATCTGTTTAATGTCTTTATTGATAATTTTAGATGAGGGGGTTGAGTTCACCATAAGCAAATTTGCAGATGACACCAAGCTGGGGGGGAATGTTGATCTGCTGGAAGGCAGGAGGGCTCTGCAGAGGAATGTGGACAAGCTGGAGAGCTGGGCTGATTCCAAGGGGATGAGGTTCAAGCAGGCCAAGTGCTGGGTCCTGCCCTTTGGCCACAACAACCCCCAGCAGCCCCATGGGCTGGGGACAGAGGGGCTGGAGAGCAGCCAGGCAGAAAAGGATGTGGGAGTTTGGATTGACAGGAAGCTGAACAGGAGCCAGAGTGTGCCCAGGTGGCCAAGAAGGCCAATGGATCCTGGCCTGGCTCAGGAAGAGTGTGGCAGCAGGAGCAGGGAAGTGATTCTTGCCCTGTACTCAGTGCTGGTGAGGCCACCCCTGGAGTGCTGTGTCCAGCTCTGGGCCCCTGAGTTCAGGAAGGACATGGAGGGGAGCAATGAGGCTGGGGAAGGGAGTGGAGCACAAGTGGTGTGAGGAGAGGCTGAGGGAGCTGGGGCTGTTGAGGCTGGAGAAGAGGAGGCTCAGGGGAGACCTCCTCACTCTCTACAGCTCCCTGCCAGGAGGTTGTAGCCAGGTGGGGGTTGGTCCCTTCCCCCAGGCAGCTATCCTGGGAGTAAGACAAGAGTGCTCGGTCTTCAGCTGTGCCAGGGAAGGTTTAGGTTGGATATTTGGAAGAAATTCTTTACAGAGAGGACATTCAGGCATTGGAGTGGGCTGCCCAGGGAAGTGATGGATTCTCCATCCCTGGAGGTTTTTAAGATGAAACTGGATGTGGCATTGAGTGCCATGCTCTAGTAACTGCAGCGGTAGTGGATCGAGGGTTGGACTTGATGATCTGACAGGTCCTTTCCAACCCGTCTGATTCTATGATTCTATGATTTCTATTCTTTGAATTACTTGAGAGTGCTTGTTTACTCAGTTTTTCTGAAAACCAAATAATTAGGTGTCGAAATTTGGACACAGTTGTTTAGGCTAGAATTTAAACACAGGAGCCATCGCAGCGGGTCAGTAGATAGTGGCAGAAATTTCTCTTTGGCCCAAGGTGTAATTCTGAAGGTTGAGATATGTGATTGTGGTACTACTGTGAAAAATGAGATAAACTGTGTTAGCTTTAACTTCTTTCACAGTATGTTTTTGGTCTAAGTAACATGTTTTACCCCACATTTGCAGTAAGTTTAAGGGACATGTGGTCAGCTACCAGTGTTCAGGTGACAGGCAGTATATTTTTTTGGTACAGAATTAATTGTTCCAGAAATAATAATGTGTGAGCCCTCATCTCTCAAGAGGGACTGCTCTGCTACTCTGTGCAGGATGTTTTAAATCAGTGTTGGAATTACATGTTAATGGAGAAATCATATATAATTTAAAAGAAGAATTGAATACTTTTGGAACATTCTTTTTAGATAAAGTAAATCCCATTACACATTAAAGCATTAAATGGATGTGTGGGAACCTGTAGCCACTTTTCAGCTTTCTTCAAGTTCATCTGGTCTGCAGGTACTTGAATCTCTCATGCGTTGAAAAGTTTGTCTGAGTGACATCACAGGGATTTCCAGACAGAAATATAAAGAAATTATAATTGCTGTCTTTCTAATGCCAACTTTAGTATAGGAAGCTGGTTTTAGAAATATTTCAGTGTGTGCGTTACACTGAAAAATACACTCAACTACAAAGGTGGAATCACTAAAATAATTCCAAGACTTTGAAGGTTAGAGAGGACTGCTGGCAGAACAGGTGGTTCCTATACAAGACAAGCAGAAATTCAAATTTCAGAGCTGAATTTATAATTTAGTGTCAATTCTAACATGATGTAACAGTTGTTATCAGGTTAATGAGGCACAGTTGATATGAATTTCTGTCATCTGAATTAAAAAAGTTGTTGTTAATAAACTTGAGATGTGACTTTGAATCTAAATAACAAGCGGATGAACTAGATAAAGTTGTTGCATTTGCATGTACTTTGTTTCTTTTCTAGATGAAATTATGTCAATTTTCCCTCTAATGTTTGCAAACTATGTCAGTGACTAATGATTCATGTTTTCAGTGTCTTTATATTGTAATCTTGAGGTAATAATTTCTTTCAAGATAAATGTTATTTAAATTACTGTTGTTACAGGAGTGGATCGATAAAATATTCTTACTTACAGGATTTAGAGTTTATGCTTCTGGACAGGTTGCTTTGCTTGCCAAGTCCCTTTTCATTCTGACACCACAGGGGTTATAAAGCAGTAGAGCCCCTGACAGCTCTATTTATATAGGTGTATATTTGTACAGAGCTATATGCAGATTACAGACTGCTCAGTTCATTGTTTTTTAAAGCCAGGTTTTCGTAGACTTCCAAGGAGCAGTGTGACTATGCAGACTCTGAAACTCAATCTCTCTCCTCTGCAATTGCTGTTGTTCAGGTTTGGTCTCAGTTGTGACTGGGGCCCTCAGAAGCTACCTGGATGAATAAGACTACTGAAGATAAAAGTATCATGTTTCTCAACTGAAATGTCACACTGGGGTGCTTTAACAGAAGTATGTTTTGTTTTCTTATAGCACTGGGAGTTTGCCCCAAACAGTGTTTGTTACTCTGTGGCAAAGGATGGTGGGTCTGTACCCTTTGTGAAAACAGCAGAACCCCACCTCTTAGAAATGTATGCACCCCAGATAGCAAAAGCTTACATTACTTCTAGACTGGAATGTGTTCCTCAAGTTGTAAGGTAAACTTGTAATTGCAACTTTCAGGCTGTAATATGGAGTGTTTAATTTTCTGATTTATTGGCATATTATGTTTTGGTATAATCTGAGTATGCTGGTTCTGATTATCATGGTGATTTCTTTAGCTTGTCTTAATGGGCTGATAACATTTTATTCCTTTTGCTTATTAAATTTAGGCCAAAATCAAATGTAAATTCTAGCTTTTTTTCATTTCATGGGCCTTTGCTGACTTTCTAATGGTTCAAAATCATGAACATTTCTATCGTCTCAGGAACAGGATTCACTCGTACCTAGGGGAGCTTCCAGTGATCCAGGGCTAGGACAGGGAAGGACAAGCAGCTCATTGTGGGTGCTGCCAATTTTCCTGGGCCTTCTCTTAACCAGCTACACTTCTTTTGGCATCTTTAGGTTTTTTTCTCTGTTCAGCTTTTCTGTAATGAAATCTCAGGGTTGAAATTTCATGTCTCGGCTTTTTTCTCCTGAGTAGGACTCAGTAGTGCTAAGCTTCTGGGTCAAACTATCTGTCTTGATCAGCTCCAATGAAATGTGCTATTGCCTTCATCAGCGTCACCATCAGCACTGAAAATTCAGTTTCTTTCTTTGGTACTGATGAAAGATTCTTCTTGATGTTCATGTTACATTGTGGAGGAGTAAACTTTCTAACCTGTGTAGAAAGCTAACAGGGAAAAGATGAGGAAAGTACTGACCTTCTCTTCTACCAGTCTGTGTCATTCTTAAGACTGTCTTGGTAGTGCTGTTTCCACGTATCCCTCCCTGTCTCCAAGTGATTTGTATTCTACTCTTGTGTTGTCTTACTCTCTTACATGATGGAGATCCTTAGTTGTGGCATTTCTGTAGACAGCAATATCAAATGTAGACTTTATTATCAAATGTCCAGGCCATTCCTGAGAAGCATGGGTTGTCCGGGAGCTAATTTCATAAGACTTCTTTCATTTGCTCCAAGGAGATTGATACATTCACAAACAAATCCTGTTTTCCGGAGTAACCATGTTTCTTAAAAACCAAGGTAGTTGATAACATCACCCTCCATCCTGGAGCCATCCATCACGTTCTTCACACAGAGAAAGAGGTAGGTTGGAACAATGAAAGGAAAGTCACTTTTGTCCTTTTTTAGGGAGTTTGAAGAGCTATTCTCCCTTTTGAGTAAGGGTGAGTAAGGAACTAGTGATTTTTCTACAAATGGTCTACAAGAGGATGCTTCTCTACAAACTAGAAGGAGATCTTTTATTTCAAGTATTTGTGAGTACCTGAGAAGCAGTCTGTTTCAGCCCATCTGGAACATTATGATTTTCAACTGCTTTGTATCTTTCAAAGCTTGGATGTTATTCCTGTTGGCTTTCACTTTTTGTCTGTAGATTGTTTGTGGTCTGTGCAGCAAAACATAACCATCTGATGAATAAACCTTTCCTTTTGTGATTTGTGTAAGGAGTATCAATGCATTTTATGGCAAGAGCTATTGGTTTCATAGTTACAGGCATTCCATAGGCACTCAGCTGGTTTACAGCAGAATAGAAGAAGGCTTATAAAGCAGTTGCATGAAATTTTACTAAAGCCTGCTTGTTGCCTTTGATATCATGGTCTTGTGCTTAAATTGATAAATATGCAAAATCCGTTTCTACTAAATAGCCCTTTATTTCCTCCCATCATCCTCTGAGAAAGATGCTCCTTATTCATAGTCTATTCAGGCACAGTGGACCTTGGTTATTCAGGTTTTACATTTCTGAATTCATAATGCCAACCTCATCTCCTCTTTTCTCTTTAAAATATGTTAAGAGGAAGGCTTAAGTAGAATACTGTTCTGTGTTTGTTGGATGTGTATGAGTATGTATGTAAATAGAATGAGATCTGTGTCTCTTGTATTCACCAGCTGCAGTGAGTTCAGCAGTTCAGTGACGGTGGGAAAACAGCCTTTAAGCAATAGTGGCTACATGGTTACTTGTTCTCTCTATTCTAGAGGTGGCTTAGCAGATCCACTGGATGATACAGCAAGTTTTTCCAAAAGCAGGAGCAACTGTGCACAGTTAGCAGGCGTGAATACCAAAAGACCTGTACGCTTCTTTAACAGTTGTTTGACTGAAATGCACAAAACTACCAAAAACCATTGCAGTCTCCTAGTAGGAATCCATTAGAAATCACAGTTCAGGAAGGTGAGTATTTAATTTAGTTTTTAGACTGTTTTATGTGTCAGTAACTACATACTTGCATATGAAAAAGAGTTGTGATTTTATGGCAGATATAACTAGGCCTTTTCTCAAACAGGCATTAATGATCTAAATCACCTTGTACCACATTTCGCTTGTTGTCTTTGTATTAAACGGGGTACATTGGCATTGATGTGTTTGTTTTAACATCTTGTTACATCTTTAGAATATAGGCATGAGAGCTGTAAAAGCTTTTTAATTGCTGAAAATTGACAATTTCATGCCTCAGGTGCCCTCAAGGGAATCAGCTGGAAGATGATGAACATTTTTTGAATTAAAATGTTAGCTTTATTCCTTTTGCACTTATCTGTCTCTAAAAATTAGTGCAACATTAAAAACCTTATTTTTTTTTATATTTCTCTGTTAAGATGTATTACCTAGTTTTCAAGAAACTGAAATTATTTATTGTAATGTAAGTGGTAAAAATATATATTTTCATATGTTTTTCATATACTTATTTTCATCCCCTCTCATTTACATTGTCTTTATAACTACTGGCTCTTTCCTAATATAGTTATCTTGTGTCTGTTGCATTTTAAAATGGATAAAGTGTATTGTTTTGAAAAGGTGAAACAGGTTATTGCATAATATACAGCTGTTTCTTTACATGCTTTTAAATGTTTGTGATTTATTTTGCTATTCTTTTTTAGAGTTTGAATATGCTGATTTTCTTCTATGTAGCAGCCATTTCGTCATTAGTTTATAAAAGACGTCCTACATACCTTTTTATGAGTTCCACTTTCTTCCATGCACCTATAGGCTTCTCTTTGGGAGAACTGTGATTGATGCCCTGGTGTCATGGGGTGGTTGCAGTCTGGGTTGACACTGCACTCCACAGTCGTGGGAGGCCCGAGGGAACCCAGCAGCCGGAGTCTGTCAGTGTCAGTGCTCTGAGGACTGCTGTTACCTGTTAGAAAATATTCAGTGTGGTTTAGATACTGTTGCTTTTCTACAAACTAAACATTTGTTTTCATATTGAACAACAACTATTATATCCCCGAGATATACATAGTTAAATTTACGTGTTTAACGGCTTTTAATGTTACAAAGTCAATGTAATATTAAGATCTCGTTTTATTATACTGCCTTGATCTCTGTATCAAGAGTGATGTGGTCATGGTTTACTAAAACAACAGCACTACTTAGTGATCACTTGTGGTCTATGGTAATGACTGATTTCTTTGGGATTTTTGCTGTTACAAAAGATAATTGCAGGTTATTACAGCAATAATCATTTCCTAAAACAGAAGATATCTGCCTTAGAAATTGCAAAAGCAACTGCACTGAAAATTTTAAATAGTGAAGGTGCGATAGAGGGAAAGAAGTCGTACCAGTTACTTGGTATTGTGCTCAGAGAAGAGGATTACCATCACAAAAATAACTGCTTAAAAATGAACTCCTGCAGTTTGTAAGAAGGAAGGCAGGATTTTATTTTAAAAAAGACTGTTGGCCACAGGATTGGCTGTGCTGTGCTCTCTGAACCAGCTGGCACCACTTCACAGCTGCTTTGTGATACCCTCTTCAAATGGCCATTCTTTAGTAGCTGTTAATGCTAAATTCATTTGAGCAATGTCTGTTCTCTGAGACACTTCAGCTCCTTAGTGTTTTGCTAATGATGGTGCAATCTCCTAGTGTCCTAAATGAATAGCTGTTTGTAGTGCAATGTGTGGTGTGTTTTTCCTTGGAAGTGTCCTTTTTGTCAAGAAGCACAGGTCTCAAAACTGGGAAATAAAATACGTTGGTTTTTGGAGAGCTGATACTGCCCCTCCAGGTTGTTAGGAATGGCACAGGAACAATAAGAGAAGATATTTAGTAGTCTTCCTCTTTTGTCTTGTTTCCTCTCAAAAGTCGGTGCTTGTTCCCTGTCACAGCGTTTGCTGTTACAGATCTCAGTCTGTATTACAGTTTTGTGTGGTATTTAAAAAAAAGACTGAGATTTAAAACAAACCGGAATGCCTTCTGTACTTTTGCTGGAATCATCTACGTGTTATTCCACACGTTGTGTATATTTGTCTCTGCATCTTTTTTATGTATAGAACACACCGTGCTATATACCTCTAGCTAAAGCAGAATTACTTATAGTGTATAGTCTGAGGATACTGGAACCCTCAGAACTGTTGAAGGGGATGGAATGAAAACCCTCTGTTTTGGGTTTTTCAAAAAACAATAGTGCAAAACATAAGGGAGATTGAGTGGAGTTTAATGTTATGTAAATGTAGACTAGTTTATCAGAGATTTAAAACAAACATGAAATAAAATCTCAAGACTTTAGGCAGATACTATGCATGTCCTGATATGTATGTAGAAATATCCAAAATACAATACTGTTTCACAGTCATAATATGACTTCATTGGTTTATCTGTAGTTTATCCTTTATATTAAACTTAAGAATGAATTTACAAGACACTGTATTCGTCAGGGTGTTGTCTTCAATCTTTTAAGTTAAGCTGTTATCACTTTGTAAAATCCTAGAAATGAGAGCAAGACATTTTCTAGTTTATGTAATTCACTTATTGAGAAGCCTTGTTTGTAGCTTAAGTAGAAACCCCTCCAAGTTGTCTTTTCTGTGTTGTCATCGACACCCAATTTTAATTTATTACAAAGAGTATTTTACCAAATGAAGGTGGAGTCTAAAGGTAACTTTTACTGTAGTCTCATTGCCTTTCATTTGAGGAAGAAACCTTTAGCAGCATCCTGAAGTTTTAACAGGTTACTTTGCTATTCAGGTCTTCGTTTTGATCTTACCTCAGGATAGAATACTGCATCCTTCCTGAGAGAAGATGCCATTAGTTACTGGACTCACAGCTTAAAAAGCTGAAGCAGGAAATCTACGTGGCTTCAGTAGGGTCAGGAGGTCAAACTTAAAGATATTCTACCTTAATGTGCTAGAGAGATTAAAATAACCCATGTTTTGCAACATGGCAATTATTTTCCAGCAGAGAGAGGCCAAAAGAATTCCTCAGAATTCAGTGTTTGTAAACTGAAGAGTTCCATATTTATAAAGAGGGATTTCAGTATCTGAAAGTCTGTACAAAATATACCACATACACAAACTCAATGAGTTATTTATAGAACCTTAGTTTTAGAGAAATTACAATCCTTATGTTGCACTTTACTGGAGAAGGACTTGGCCACTGGATCCTGTAAGTGCTATAGTGGAGAGTGACAGCTAAATAGTCTGGAAATTGGAAGGCATGACAGCATAGCTTGGAATCAATGAGCTCTGTCTTTCAAACCCATTTAGAAGTAGTCCACAGAGACTTTCAAAACTATGTGGTAGTTCAAAGACTCTTTTGTTGAAGGATATGTCTGATTTATGACATAAATATTTTCTTATGTGCAAATCACTTTAAATAATATCTTAAAATTACAAAGAATTTGAAATAGAACTAAGAAACAAATAAATTGTGGGGAGACTCCATTACTTTGTAATGCTGTGATAACTAGATGTAACAGTCCCACTGTAGGTAAAATTGTTCCATACCTTGAAGTAACTTGTAGCAGGCAAGTGAAGATGCTGGATTAATTGCCTGTTATCCAGGCTGAGTTTGTATTTAAGGTTAGTTCTTTGGTGTTTTATTTAGAAGCATGTCCAAGTTAATAGGCTGTTTTAGTTTATACGGCAGTTGCGCTCCGAGTTTTTTGTTAGTTGGTTTGTCTGGGTGGATTTTAGATGGGGTAAAGGGGAGAGCTGACCATTCTCTTGACAGTTTGATATCGTGTAGATCTGCTCATACCTCGTGGGAGTGTATTGTACTGGCATCAGGGCTTATCATCATGAACTGTTCTTTCTGTTTAATGTAGGAGTGCTGGCATGGCTGGTCTGTTCTGTGTGTACATTTCTGGGAGGACAGTTAACACACACTGGTACTGATGGGCACGATGCCCTCGATGGGGAGTTAACCTGTTGGGAAGTAGGGCTTGTTTGTAATTGTGATTATTTTTTTTTAATGATGTGTAGTGTCAGCAGATATTTGGAATTTAAATGTCTCTGTTTTTGTCCAGTTCTTGGATGGTGGGTGCTCAAGGGCTGTACTGACTCTGTGGACCGCGACGATTCCACTGGCTTTGGTCTTTCTTGATTCATCATCCTGAGCAGTGGAGTCACCGAGGCTATCATTTCAAAATTGTTTCAGAGGAAGGGAAGGGGATTAAAGGCAGAGATATCTCTTACTATAAGCAGTGTTTAACTGTGCCCATGCAGCTGCCTGTTTTCATTTGTGTGTTACACAAGTGTAAGTTTTGTAAGTTCTGAGTTCTGGCTGCTGTTTTCTGCAGCACTTCCTTTGCATTAATTATTGTGGGTGAAGAAGCACAGGGGAGCTGCTGGTTGAAAATTTAGACTAATTTCTAGACTAGAGCTTGGAATAAAAAAGAAGGCTCTAGATTTAGGAGTGTGCATACCAGAGTCCTCTTTCTGCAGTGAGTTGGGTATTGTTACGAATGACCAATTTCTTGTGGCAAACACTCTCTCAATCCTCATGCATGTTTGATCCTGTTCTTTACATCCACTATCTAATGCATGAAAAAGGACATGCAACTTAGAATTGGAGAAAAAACTGTGCATTTTCTCCTTTGTTTCTTGCCTTCCTAATCTACCCTGGGGCTCTGTGGTGTTAGCAATCTTCCACTGTGTTTTTATTAAAAGTGAAAGGTTTTAATATCCAGACTTACAGATGAAGTATCTACTGACTTTTAATCCAGTGACTATATATTTCAGAATTGACAAAAGGTGGGAATTAATTTTTGAATTGCTAGGGAATTGGAATTTCAAGGAATAGATAGCGGAAGAACACTGAAAATTAAATAACAGAATATTCCCTTAAAAAAAATTAATTAAATTTTCTTAGCTGGCATAGACTGAAATTGATTCTTTGAAATCAGTCCTGATAATATGGAGATATGTACAAAGTGAGGGTGTTTTAGGAGAGGCAGAAGAGGGAAGAAGTGAGGCCGACAGTGCATCCATTATATAGTGCATATGTAAACTTGTTTCTAAGTACAATAGTTTCAGTTTTCAGGGAACCCAAACAGCTCTTATCTTGCACTTGCAGTTTGAGCCCCATGCTTCTCAAATTTCTGTTTCTTTCATCATGGAATGGATGGTCTAAGAAAAAAAAAACACTTTAGCAAATTCACCACAGTTTAACATATGCATCTGAGAAAATGTCAAGTGACAAAGTAATTAGAAAAGCGTTATGTTGATGTTTATGTTCAGTACTGGTCAATTAGCATAATTAGTGTCTAAACAAAACAAAATCTTAGAAGAAACTTAAACTTGGGCAAAAAAAAATAGATGATGGGTTCCTAAAGAAATTGGCTGTGACAATACAATTTTATTTGAGAATTCTTCCTGAAGATATTTTTTTATGTCATTAAGAATTTTCCAGCTCATCTCTTTGATAGATGCCAGTTACCCCTGTCTAGTAATGAAAAAGTAGAACTGGCAATTCTGTGGTTCTTGGATCAGTTCTGTAAAACATATGAGGGAGACCAGCTTCAGCACACCTCAGAGGTCAATATTGTCTGTAAGGCACAACGTTTGAACTAAAAAAGTCTTGTGCAGAAATCAACCTGCAGATATATCTTACACATAAAAGCTCTTGAGATCAGCTGGGGGCAGTTTGACTGGATGGAGAGAGAGAGAACTACTTGATGTGATGTTCATCTGATCAGACCTCCTTCCATATCTGCTTTGGAGTTTTGGCATGCAAAGAGTTAATATTTTAACAGCTATGTTCATTAAACAATTTTAGGTTACTTTGCATTTCAATTTTTTATTTCAAACATTTAGCTCGTTTCTGCTATATTGTGTTATATTTCACAGCTGGGTACACAAGATTTATTCTTTTAATAGTTCTGTTCTTTTGACAGTTATTCATTTATGTGGTTTCCACTGTATTTCTCACATTACTTGGCTTTTCTGCATTTTCAATAGGGAAGAGGGAAAAGTAAGATGCATTTTTGAAGAAGAAGCAGTTAATTCACCTTAACTGTAGGGGACAGTCATAATATAGATGTTATAAAGAGAATGTCAGTAAGATGAGATCAATTGATCTTGAGAAAGAATTCTGTTAGAGCCTCAAGCAAATCTTTAGCAAGAATTTTGACAGTGACTGAGGTTTGCTTTTAGTTTGTGTAGCACTCCTTCCTTGCTTTCTGGTGGACGGTCCCAGTCTCCAGAATTCTTTTACCCCTTCAGGTTTGAACTGTACTTCAACTTTATTAAATGCTTTCTCACTTAATATTAAAAATAAAGTTTTACACTGTATTGAATTACTTTTTCATTAAAGCGATGTGTTCCTTTCAATTGTCAAACCTGATTTGTTATTTTTAAATATGGTGGACTGCTCTAATGCTAAGAAACAGGAGGTACACAGTGAAAATGTACTCATGCTCCAGGTATTTTCACGAGCAAAATTCCTATTGATGGAATTCAAGGCAATATGGCTCTACAGTAGTTGTCATTGTGATCTATAGTTTCTTTTTATTACTATATTGTTATGTTTATTCTTTTATTCCTTTTTATATTACATTATTTTTATTATATAATTATACTCTTATTATTCTTTTTCCTTTATCCAATTTTGAGAGTTTCTATTTCACCTTATATTCTGACTCATGGAGTTGTAACTGCATGGAGAAACCCCAGTACGCTACGAAGGATTGATATAGGAGATTGTATCCCAAGCTTTTTATGTCCATCCGTAGAGAAAGCCAGAAGAAGCACTTGTATGTGGATGAATCAGCAGGGAAAGACCTGAAGTGCATTATTTATACTTCAATCGCCTGGAGCTCCGTCATCGATAACAAAAAATGTCCAAGTTGAGCCTTTGGCAGCTAAGCAATGTGCTGGAATGACCATAAGCCTGGCTCTGCCATTGCACTTTGTGGGGAGGGTTAAATGGTTAATTATTGAGTAAAATGGTGGCTAATGTTTCCATTTGATTTATTGAAGAACACTTTGAACAGAAAGAATGAACTTGTGCTGAAAGGACTTGGGGAAAACCTGCAGGATGAATTTAAGAAAACGGTTTTGTGTTGGTTTATTGTTTCCGTTTTTTCCCCCTGCCCCAGTCAGTGGACATGAATCAAACTGGTCATATATCATATTTTATATATTGCCTTTGCTAATGGCATGTGCTTGTATGGAACCAGACTGGGGCAGTGGGAGTTTTGCAAGGCTCTCATGGTGCATAACTGAGTCTCAAACTCCAGAGTTCATTGCAAATGCATTTTTGAAGTGTTGTTTTGTTGGGTTTTTTTATGGTTTGATTACATTATCTACTAGTATAATTTAGTTTGCGGTCAAATTACACTTTCTTTTTTGTCTTGATCTGTTAGACCTGATACAGCAGCCCCTCATTTGCATGGATAGAATCCCGTGGTCCAGAGCTCAGTATTTTACTAGCTCTCCTAACAAAAGCTATGTGTAAAGGCATTTGAGCTCCCAGTTTTGGTGGGTTTTTTAAACATTTTTAATAAACTGAGCTGTTAGTGTACATTCTCAGAGAAGAGAAAGGCAGAAGGCAGCACTGATCTGATTGCTGTGTCTCTCCTGCTGTAGCAACCCTCATAGCAGCAGATGGCATGCTGCCCCCGTGGTTGTAAATCCTCCCATACAGGGTCTGGCTGGCAGCTATCTACAAATATGCAATAAAAAGGCTCACACTTGGAAGCAGAAACATCAGACATATATCAGATGACTAAGTTAATACACATTTATATAAATATTCATGATTGCTTGAATTGTTTTATTTACAGAATGGATAATAGAAAATCTGCATGCTTCAACCATGTTGAAAGGATTTCTCTGTTTGCTTGTGTGCTTTCATACAGTCAGACAATGGTTAGAGACGGGTGAACAGTCTAATGAAAATGTAGAACAAGTCTTCTGTATAAATAAACAATTTTTTTCATCGATTAACTCATATTCTTAAGTGTGTGCATGTAATAAAAGCAAACTGATTACAGAAAAAGAGAATTGGCTAGGTAAGTGAATGCATCCTTATTAACCAGCCCACAGGGGCTTGCTGTCTGAAGAAAGATAGCAAAACCTTGGCGATTTCTTCCATGATGCTGTAATACACTTTTAGTGCCATAACATTTCCAGTACGAAAATAATGCATACTGTCTTTTGGAACAGACAGACCTTTGAATGAATATGTATATATATATCAAATTTCTGTTGAATACTAGACTGGATTCTCAGGTATAGTACAGCACTATTATTTGTCTGTCAATTGACTATCGGTATGTATTTTGTTTTAATGGAGATATGACTTAGCTTTCATAGGGTCATTGTTTTGTGGCATATTGCTGGTTTGGATGCAGGCAGGGTTGTAGGAATAAATTGTCTGGGAAAGCACTGGGGTGGCTTTACTGAAGTTGTAGTCTCAGCTGCTGTTTCTGGAATTACAGTAGTGCCACTGCTGTGACTAGTGTAAAAGTGCACTGAAATCATCAAACATGTTATTTATCAGACAAAACATTGCTGGTTGGAGTGAGACTTTTCCTTTGCATTATTCTTAAAATATCAAAAACTGTAAGAGTATTTATTTCCAAGTGACACTGGATGAAATGACTACAAAAGACAGGATTCAAATTCAGAAAGATCTTCACAAGCTGAAAGTTTAAAATACTGGTGAAACACCATGCTTAGGAATGAAAAATCCCTCTTAGAACTGCCACTGGGACATCTCAGGCCAGACAGTGTGTGATAGTTTCAGTCTAGGCCTTCCTGGAGACTAGCTTGTAACCAGGGAAGTACCCTATGTTCCCAGTATTCCATGCTATCCTTTACATGAACAGAGGTATAAATAAGAAAGGAAGAGAAGCCTTTGCTCTCTTCTCTTCCAGTGAGGTTCAGGAAGAGTAGGTCCCTGCGTTGGTCTTGCTTACCTGGAGTTGAGGCCCGCAGTGACTGCTGCTGTCTGCCACGCAGGAGGGGACAGTGCTGGCCAGGTCTGGCTGTCCTGCTTTTCTCAAGGGAAGTGGTGAGATTTCATTTTGCTACTTCTTAATTTTGCTAGTTCCCGGGTTTTTTGATTGTGCATATCTGTTTTGTTTTGTCCTTTTTTGTCCTTTTTTGTCCCTTTTCTCTTTTTTCCTTCCCCTTCCCCTTTTCAGGAGCTGTTTGCGGTTCCTGTGTTTATACGTGCATAGTATTCTCACTGTATATGACTGTGATATATATAAAATATATATTTTTGCTATAACTTTGGCTGTTCATTTTTTTCCTTCCCTCTCTGGGAAGTAAGCTTTTTCACTGGGTCTCAGCAACTTGGTGGAGAGCCAGCTCCAAACTTACAGTGTTACTTCAGAAAGTGCTGTGAAATGTGAGCAGGGGTAACTCAGTAGTATGAGTTGGTTTAGCACACAAGAAAAATACATCATCTTTGTGGCTGATGTAGCAGGAATATTGTGTCAGGTGCCAGAATTTTTTTATTCCATTCTGAATATTTGGCTCTGATTGGGGTTTAGCTTGAATAATGTGTCCAGTTTTTGGCACTACACTTGGAAAAAACTGTAGACAAATGGGAGAGTAGGACAGCACAAGTGAGATGCAGAAGACATTGCTTTAGTTTAACTCAGAAAATAGAATATTGAAAAGGGACAAAAATCAAGGATGTCAAGAGTTGTTTTAGAAAAACAGATGTTTTCAGTGACCTTCAAGGGAAAGATGGGATGAAATCAGCTTAATTTGTAGCAAGGAGGATTTAGGGAGTGGTTTTTAACTATGCCAGTAAGGGGGTATTTGTGCGTGTTGCCCAAGATATGATGGGGCTTTAGACTGATGCCCAGGTAGACTTAATCCATGCATCCATAATGTACAGGATAACACAGGAATCCTGCTGCTCTAGTCTCCTGCTTCATAATCAGACTGTTATAATTGTTCATGGTTGTTTGCTTTGGCTTAGCCAGTGAAAAGCACTTAGTAGAGATTGAGCCTTCCTGTTTGTAGTGTGTATGTCGTGTCCATCAACCACTCATGAGGAATTTTTCTGTTATTTTGGGATTTCATTTTAGCTTGGCGTGTTTCAAGTAATTCATTACGTGCATTTTAAAAGGAAAAATAATATGATTACTAAGAGTGAAGAATTAGAAGAATTAATAAGAATTAGAGTATCTTTGAAAAGGTAGAGTTGGCAGAGGAATTTGACTCCTTTTCCAGCTCAAAACATGAGTTCATACCTCCTATCCATGCTAAGGAAGATTTCTTTCTAGTTATCCAACCACATGTGGGATTTTCACTAGATAGCCTGCAGTATAGAGACATGGCCTGGTGACATCTCTGCCATGTTGTGTAACCTCCCAAGGCAGCACAAAAAAGAGTTGGAGGTGCTGAGAAGGTGAGAACCTTGTTTGTTGTGGGGTAGGGCAGAGTTGGCACTGAATGAGCAGGTTCTTCACTGAGTTCCATGCAAGTTCTTACCTTGCAAGACTTGTTATCTGGGACCTTATCCTGCTTCCAAACACATCAGACATTTGCCTTTGGAGAGATAAAGCACCAGG